TTCTAGCATATCGTATCTCTTCTATGCTGCATGTATGGAATTGATCCGTAGCGACTATTGCAACCAAGTTGCGACATCCCAGGGCCGAACCGCATGATTGGGAGCGGACATGATAACTGGTTACTTGCGTAGCAATTGTCTATGCCGACTACTTAAAAGCCCGAGTGGACGAGTTACCCCACTTTAGCATGTTACTGTTGGTCCTTGTTTCTCTACCGTTATTGGCATTATCTGCTGATCCAGTCGTTGTGCAGGATGGTGATGCAAATGTTAAGAAGTATGCTCAGAAATATGCTCAAAATCTTGATATAAGTAGTTTATCAGTATTTTAGCATTGCTCCCGAGACGACAATAGGTCCATTGCCGGCTTATATCTACAAACCGGGTCCTGACCATAAGTTCAAGTAAGTTTAGTTTTACCTTCTCACTTTACCCTATCCTTGCAATGTTTACTCTAAATTTTTTTCGTAAGGTATGCTAACTACAAACATTTCCCGCTGCCATCTTCCACCGAAGAAACACCAGTAGCTGTTGAAATCTCCGTCGCAGCCCCATTAACCATAGAAAATCCAGTACCAGAGCCACCACCACCGCCACCAGTGCCAGTGATTCTCTCACCGTACTTCATACCGTACTTCAGCCGCTTGCCGCTAGACAACGACTACTTGCTGATGTCAAGGCAACAAGAGCTTCCGCCTACTTTTGCTGATTATCTCTCAAGAAAAGCCTATGGAAATGGACCCAGATATGGAGACTATATTGGAGCTGAGAAATTTTTCGCGCAGCTCCAAAAGGAAAAAGTAGTGAAGAAGATTGACGGCGTCTGAAAGTTGAGATGATGTTTATAAATAAAGTCAAAATTTGCTTTTGAGTGCTTTTCAATGCAGTGAAGGTGTGATACGTTTTTGAGTAAAAAAATGGCTCATATGAAGCGGCTATCACAAAAATTCACAGAGGCGGTAGGACTGTCCAGAAAGGAGATCCTACGTTTCAGCAAAACAACAAGTAAAAATATAAAGTTTACTCCAACGACAAATCACAGAAGAAGTTGATATGCATAAGATGCAGAGAAAACAAAGATTATGAGTAGCTGAACAATCCTGAAATCTCAAGAATTACTGCGAAACAATGAAAACGGTAGGGAACGATGTCCTATTGTTGGAACTGAC